AAATCGGAGGAGGCGATTCGTGTCCAATTGAGCGAAAGCGCGGAAATAAGGAAGCGTAAGAGCCTGGAAATGATCGAAGCAACGTTAGTCCTCGCCTAATTTTTTGGCATTACAGCATACATCTATTTCCGATAAATAGAATTCTTCACTTTTCTCTCGTTCTGTATATTGCTTTGAAAATTGTTCTCATTTTTCAGACTCCTAATTATTGTTATTTTATATAATATTTATATATTCATTATATATCACGCTTTCATTATTATTTTTTTACATGAAATAATCAGGATTTAATGAAACGTTACCTGTTTCTTTTTTCTTAATCGTTTGATTTAAACTGATTTGATTTGCTTCGCGAATCCGAAAACTTTCTGAAACCATTAAAATTTCAAAACAAAGATATCTATTTGAGCCTCCTTTATTTAATTAAATTTAAAGGAGAAAAATCAACTTTTTACTAAAATTAAACTTAAAATTCAACTTAATTAAAGAATCTAAAATAGAAGTGCAATATAAACTTCTTAAATTCTATATGCAGCAAACTTAAATTACATAATTTAAAAAATTGTAACGTTTTTACAAATAAAATAAAACGGTAACATATTAGTAATCCCAAGAATAAATCTTTTATTATATAATACCTATATAATTTTAGTTTGCTACATATAGAGTTTAACATATTCATGTTGCATTTCTTTCTCAGATTCTTTAATTAGTTCAAAATCGATTCTTCTTTTAAATTGAACTAAAAAGCATGTTAAAAGCTTGTTGCAAAGTTTCCACGAATGTTTCACAGGTCGCAAACGAAGAGTGACAATATAAACAGACGGCAAACATCACGAGACGCGCGATTACTCTCTTTGGAGGAGTTTACAGATGGGCAAAATTTGGTCTCAAGTGCACGACGCGTGCAAGAACGTCGTAAAGCTCGCTGCTATGAGCGTCGACCATGTTGTGAAGGATGCACCTAAATTGGAACGTTCACAGAGAAATCCCGTCGAAGTGATTGACGCGACGCTCGTTGAGAGCACGTTCTCGTGCGCTGGCAAAATATGTGGTGAAACGTGTCGTAAAAATTTAATGCGCTCGAAGAGCGAGGAAAAAACGAAGGCGCGTCAAGAACGTACAATCAGGGACGTGGGAAAATATCACGGGGATACAGAAGCGGAAAAACACCGATGCGAAAAAACTTGCGGACCATTGCACCTACCCGCCACGATATGCAGAAGCACGCGTATCAAAGCGCCAAAAAAGAGGAGAATGGAGAATCTTGTGTGAATTACAGCAGTACGATCAATCCTCCAGGCATCTACCTGTTGCATTGACAGAGTCATCGAAACTTATATTCAACAAATAACACGCACATATTTAAGTCAACTTAAAAAATATATGTAACGTTTTTTTTGAAGAAAATATTACTTTTTTAAACGATAAGCAACAACGAAACATTCGTTTTTTGTTTTATCTTTCGCTGCTTTTCAATTTTGTCGGGTTTTCGATTTTTTTCCGTCGTCTCTTTGTATCTGCATCTCTCTGAATATATGAACCATAAATATTGCGCTGTAACAAAAAATGTATTGTTTTTATTTCGGCTAAATGAAATCGAAAAAAGGTAGAGAAATTTTTTAATTTTAAATAAATACAAATTTCTGCAGATTTGCGTTATTATTGAACGCAAATTAACAAATGTTTTATTATAATTCCAGGATAATCTTTTTCTTTGAAAATTTCCAAATTTATATACATTAAAGACAAAGGATATTTATATTCAAATTTTACATTAGCCTTTATCCACGTAAGAATTTGCATTTAGATACGAATGCTTGTACAATATTCAATATCATAAAATATTCTCTCGTTTTCCGCGTATATAAATTTCTCGCCTTTGATACGGAAATAATAATTGCTCTTCTGGAACATGACAAGTATCGGGATATCGTAGAATTTCAACCACGGAATGAAACGTACAGTCATGATGAGGATATATTGTATATTCTCAATCCTGTTTGAGTGAGTCCTTTCTTTTATCACGAAAAATTTACGTATCCAGGACTTCGCAATAGAGGTAGTAGCGACGATAATCGAAATTTTACAAGGAGCTCATAGACGATCAATCTATGCAACATACTTCCGAAACAAAATCTATTAAACGTTATCAAAATTCTAAAACATGTAACGATAGGATGTCTCGAGAGACACACGTTTATTGTTACGAAGTATCTAACTAATGATCACCAAGCGATTCGCGCAGACATGCCAGTTGCCTCGAAAAATAATTCGCTGCATCATAGGTGTCAATCGATGAACGTATCATCTTCTGAAGGTAACAGACGAGTAGAAACATCTGCGACGCCTGAACAAACATGATTTTATGAAGAAATCGAAAAACCGTGCGAGGGAATATGCGAAGAAACATGCGAGAGTACTGACATGATCAACACTGAAACCGAAAGAAGCTTTACATCGATGATCGCAATAGCTGCAGTATCCTTGACCAAAGTAGAGCTCACGGGTCGCTCATTGCGGAACGACTCGGAAGAACCGATAGCATCGACTTCCAAATGGGAGACGACACCTGTTTCATTGAAAATATCGCGAAGAAAATGTCACAGTTTCAAATCGCCGTTCTGTGCGATGACGATGAAATTCTTGAGGAAACGTTCGTCCGTTGATAATAAAACCACCGAACCTGTGCTTAAATGGAGTAGAAGAGACATCAGAAGAAAGGAGCTATCAAGTACGGCTACTGCTACTTACGATAACGAAGTGAAGATTATGCAAATAGATCCATCTACTATCTAAACCGATCAAGAAAGCAATAAGAGGTGAGCTTACATAAACGTTCAAATGCAAACACCTGACGCGATTGTTACGAGAATTTTATCGGAGTTCCTTCTCAGTGACGAGAAGAAGAAGGTGTTGATGATCATAATGCTATAATCGGAATTGGATGACAAAAAAGAAGCAAAAACTCAAACGTCATCAAGTAACATAACTTCCAGAGGGATCAATATGTTTAGTTATCCAGACGATCGTTCTCATGGTGCGGTTACAACCTCGTCGAAGACTGTTCAATGTTTCGTATGTGATAAACAAGAATGTTACGAAATAAGACAATCGGATAACTCGATTACTTTAGAAGAAGCCTTAATCACAGAATATCCGGAAACGTCTGAATTCAATGATTATTTGACGAAACGAAAAGCAGGCGTAACAATTCCTCCACGATTTATACTCAAGAAATTCCCTTGAGAATAATTTATATAAATAAATATATCTGTTAGAATGTAAATAATTTTAAGCAGCAATATTAAAATTTGCATTTGTCAAATTTTTGATGTAGATTAATCGAACCACTTCGAGATATCGAGAAATTCAAAGAGAATTTCAATTATTTTAATTAAATCTTAGTAACCTCACATTTACACATGTACTAATTTATGTGTTTATCTTTAGCTATGGCATATCAAAAATGTACTCAATGTGTCCACACTCGAAATTTATATCTAAATTGAAATTTTAATTATGCATAGCAATGGAAATAAATAAGTTAATTATGAATTTCTTCTGAAAATTATAAAGTTTAAACAAAGTTGCACATTGCAAAATAATTTTCTTATTCAACATTACAATTTAGTCTATTCAATATTAACATATTTAATTAATCATATTTAATCATATTAATGGGGTCGAACTATATTCTATAATAATATTATTATTCATATTGAACATATTGAGCACATCAAACATAGCAAGTAACGAAATTGGTGATTCTGACAAATTATCAGATTAAACAAACAGATTGTCCCATTTACTACAATACTTCAAATTCAACTAACGAAGATTCAATAGAAAGTTACAAATTCTTTCGTAGGATATTAAAATATTTCAAGCACCCCACTGTACGAATAAGACAAAAAAAAGAAATGTGATATAAATAAGCGAAATGTCAGTACGAGTAAATCTGAAGAAAAAATATCGGTATATATACTTCATTATTATCGATTGCAGATAATGTAACTAAACCCGATCTAAAGGTTGTTAAGTTGAAGCAAAGAATGGTCGATACAATTACCTCCATTACACAAGCAAATAATGTTTATGATAAAGTAACACATGAAAATCTTTTAAATGCCATACAGCATATTGTTCATGACGCATCTTGTCGATATGCAGCGAAAAACGTGGATAACGTTGTTTCGAATCGTGACTGCGGTCCGCTATGCATTGGCAGCAAGACTCAAAACGTGAATGGAGAAGTCAGTTTGGAGACAAATAATGCTTTCGCGGAAGCATGCGAAAAGAGGCGGCAGACGGACTTTATTCTCGAGGAAATTGCAAAAGTCTCTGACGCTTTGACACAGGGACGAAAAAGTCGCAAATGGAATATATAATGGATCATCAGTGCGTGGCACCTCAGTTAGCATCTTATAAGATTACTGAACTGATCGCAAAATATCCGCAAACGGGATCAATTTAAACACAGACACGGAATTATTGAATCCTTGTTACGATTGTTTTTTTTAATCTGACACATTATTATGTACAATAGCGACGATAATGTTTGACTTTAGTTATCATGTATTTCTGTATTAGTTTAACTTGGGACTCGCAACCGCTAAGATCGTTGTTTAGCATAATGTTATTTACTGACATTTTTACATTATTCGTTATTATAGTGGATATATCAGTATTACAATCTGTCCTGGTTTTTAAACTGTGTATTTATTTCTGCATGCGTGCTTTCCGAAGTATCTTTCATTTTAATTATAATCTATTCTATTCATTCAGTGTTTTCATAAATATATTGGGAGTACAAATAAGTTTCCGCCGTTTGACAAAAGAAGGCGCCACTAGCAAGCTATGGTTAAAATTGTCTGATGTAAAACGTTATATCGTAAGGTTGGACATCTGTCAACAACATAACCTTGAAATACTAGCGATTTTGTATCAGCATCATATATTTTTTTTTGCGAAAATGCCGAGTTTTGAGCCGAATAAGCGTCATTTGTGGGAACTTTTGATTTACTTCTTTAATTTGAAGAAATCTGCTGCTGAGGCTCATCGAGCTTGTAGAAGCATATGGTGAGG